TCTAATACAACTGTGGTGGCAGCTTTTCCAATCTTTGTTTATGGCGACGTAGTTTATAATTATGCTCAAACTTGGGAAGTAATGACCCTGAAAAACTGTATAGAGCCACCTTAATACGGACACCCCGTTAAAGAGAGGAGAAGTGTGACGGCACGTTACCATGGTAGCAAAATTTCCGGATCGCAGCAATAGAGAGTTTAAGCAACGACGCCGGTGACGGCAAAAGCACTGGAAAAAGCAATAGCTTTTTACCATCGCGTTTTTTTGTACGTTTCTTGGCTGTCGTTGCATGACTGCGACGTGAAACTTCCAAATTTCATGCACCCGCTTTACGAAGTAGGTGAGCAAAACGCAACATTTTCTTTTTCTTTTCCTAAACTTAGATACAGTCCTTTCGGATTTGACCCCAGAAAATTTCGCCAACATTTGAAAAATTAAATGAAATTGAATGAGATCGATGAAGTTTGAAACAGTGCGAATTCAGAAATTTTGCTACCATGGCAACGTGACGTTACGACTTCCCTTCTCTATTATGGACACTTTCCATAACCCCCGCAGTGTCCGAATTAACGGCCCGAAAACATTTGGAGTCACGTGTTTTAAGCGGTACGGCCTGGCCTGGGCCTGAGGACGTGATGCTGCACAAGGATCTCATATCTGACTCAATGTGCTCTTTGTAGAATATGATCACATGCATGGTACAACAAACACCTTGCTGGATGGCAAACAACGCAATGAAAAGAAAGGATATTAGCTTTTTGAAAGATGTAACCGCTTTGTTTTCAGTCTCGCCCTCGTTTGCTATCCAGCAAACGAGTACTGATCATATCCTGCAGAGGGCCCATCGCATTAAAGAAAATGTCGTTGGCATTATCTCGTAAGAAACACATTCTTATTACTATTCCTGTGTTGAACATAAATTGTGGAATTGTCCATTTTGATAAATCAAGCTTTCAAGGAAGCTCATTCGACAGACATTAGGCATTAGAATTCATCTCATCAAGTTTTCAACGCGAAATGCCGAGTAACTATATTTCAAAGCATGGTGAATTAACAAAATCCGAAAGCAATAAGATTCTTTTCCCGCCTAGCCAGTTGGGTAAGGGCGACCTCGGTTGGGTTTTGGTTCCTGGTTACAACTCTTATTCGCCTGAGCTTGTTGTGTCGATTTACGACGCTCCTGTGTCGGTTACCGCTGGTCAGAAGCGAGGATTTGAAGAAATCCCATGAATTCAATAACCATGGGAAAGCATGCGCCGACATTTACGGTGGATTCTACAAGTTCATGGGGCAACTGGTAAAGGGAATACATATTATCAATAGAAGACAACTCGGAGGTCGATAACTTTGGAATGGCACGCACTGATTAGTTTTGGGTGCATTAAGTTCTTGTAAAATTCTATTTGGTCTTGATAAGTTGTAAAGCTACTACTAAACTAAGGGCGTAAAAATAGAATAAAATGAATATGACAAGAAAAACGTTTTTTTGATAAAACTGTAAACGAATTTGTCATTTTCGTTAATCACTATGTCCTTGAAATATGCTAATAGCCCACGTTTCATATATTAAAAGAAAATTCTAACATGACTCCGAGGCTGTTTGGTCATATTTCTATTTTTCAGTGCTCAAGTCTCTTCTGGAGTTGTGGGACAATAAAGTCGCGAAAATTTATAATTTTGTCCATAAAGCCTCAGAGTCATGTTAGAATTTTGATATATCCAACCTGGGCTGTATTGGCAATGTTGTAAACGAGCGGGAAGTGGGTAGGACTTTTACGTAAAGGCTCCCGGAATCGTTGGGAGGAACAGCAAAGGAAAATGATATATGTCATGATACATTTCATTATTAGACAAAATAATCTTTCTACAGAAATATCATACTTTCCATAGTTCACTCTTTTATTTCAAATGCTTTATAATAAATATAGTTAGCTCGTTCGCTGAGGTCGGTCGGAAGCAAATTATCACTTTAAAAATCAACAAAAGAAGATTCAAGATTCATCGAGCCCTGATCTAATTTTTTCCTTTTTTTATAACGGCGTAAAGTTGAGGAGATCAGTTCAATGACACCTTTCGCAGATTTATTAAGAATCAAAAAATGACTCTGAACTTCCTCTTTCAGTTGTTGCGACTTCCAAAAAAATAGGAAAAAAATTGATCACGGTCAGAAAAAACATTCACCCGTTTCACGGGAGAAGGATTGGAAATTTGTTCTTACCCAAAGTTGTAAATCATCAAGCACTCTAAGTAATGGTAGTAGGACTCATTGGAGTCCAATTCGGGTCTGTAATATTACGCCGAGTAATCAACAAAATCGGACGACTATTAAACGTGGGTCCGATTCAGTATTTAATAAAGAGTATTAATAAAAACCAATGGAAGACACAAAGTTCTTATACCAATTAATCATATCCTTTAATTGTGATATTTTAAGCTTTTTAAAGAGACCATACCGATATTTTTCAATCGCCTTAAAAGTGATTTTATAATTGCCCGCCGCCCAATCACTATAAAAAAAATTTTCGCCACTGAGCTGATTTTCGATTGACATTTGTCAAATTGTAGTTCTAATTAAAATAAATAAATAAACAAAACAATTGAAATCCTCAAAGCCGAATTTCACGCGATCTAGACCCGCGACTGAAAAGCCGACACCAGGAACTTAAAGGGCGGTGTTTAGCAAATAACCTCCGCGATCAAATGAATCGGAAATCTCGAGTCAGATTTAGTTAAATTCAAAGCACAAGATCATACTCTTAACATAACTTAGAAAAGGTTGGAAGCCACTTACCTTGCCTGCCCTTATTTGGCAAATGCGCTACTGTTTTGTACGAGACACACTTTAAATGTTCAAAGGACACTTTTCATCGTTGGCTAATTATGAAAAGTAATCATTTTGATAAAATACATGCCCTAACAGCTGGCACGCAATACCATCTTTCCCAAATAATTGCAATTTGATCGATTCAATAGTCTAAATTAACCTCTTGCCATCTTAAAGTTTGTCGTTGCTATGGAAACAACTATTTTAACGTGTCAGTAATCACGTCATTCACGTGAAGTCGTCAGTAGCCAATCTCAATACTACCGACCTGTCAAACGGTTGACGTACCTGTCAAAAGCGGGCCAGCAGTATTCCTGCACACCCATACCGCCTTGTTATATCTCCGATCTCATGAATCGATGAAAGCATTGGACTCTCAGAACTTGGATGATCAACTTAACCTCAGGTTAGTTCTGCATGTACACGTAAAAAGCCATATTTGTTGCCAGCCAAAAAGGAAAGTCATCCGTGCCCAACTAAGAAAGGTAGAACATTATGAGAATTCACTTTTTTTATATCCACTTTGCTTCGATATTAACTAACTTTTCACCTGATGCGAGTTTGGTCGTAATTCACGAGCGAAACGCGAGCCTGAGTCAAGCACCAGCCACGAGCCAAGAGCCATGCACGAGACAAACTCGAGTCAAGCACTGAATGTTTAGAAATTTATTCCCACTCGGAGAAGCAAAAATTGCCCAGAATTTTCTATGGCTTGACGGGAAGGCTAAAAAGTTCTAGATCACCGTTCCATTCATC